GATGAAAAATATGTATTTTTTATAAATTGAAAGATAAAAATATACATATTATTAGAACAAATTTAACAGATTAATTAATAAAAAAACTAAAAAGTAGATTTTTATAATTGAGAGATTAAAAATTATGTAAAAAATTAAGAGATAAAAATTACATAAAACTTTAAAGTTGAAAAACTAAAATTGACATTTAACCTTAAAAATATAAATTTGTTAATTAGTTACTTTAATTTATTAATTAATAAATATCAATTGTTCTACTTATTATCTTAATTAATAATTATAATTATTAACCATTTTTTATCAATAAAATTAAATAGAATCAATATTTTGCACTTGCAACTTCAACTGCCTCAATTAAGGTGTTTAGAACTTATTATCGTATTATAAAATAAATTATCATTTAAAGAAATATTGATGTAATTTTTCACCTTAAATTTTCGTTTTTTAAAAAATTAACTCAAATTTAATAATTATTGTTAATATTTTATTAAATGTCAAAAATAATAATTTAACAACAACTATTAAATTTAAATAAATTTTAAAAATAAAAATTTTAAATAATAAATTGTATCAATATATTTTATATAATAAATTTTTTTAACATATTATAATTATTTACAAATTAATTAAAAAATTAAAAAAAATTGTAAATTTTAAATGTAAAATTTATAAAAAGTGAACCATTCTAATTCAAAATATAATACTACTTGACCGGAGTCAACCGTCCATATCACAACCTATTTTAACACGACAGTTTTGAAAGTAATGTGTACATTTAGGCTTTACATTTTTATCACCATAACCATGCCCAACAGAGACAGCACAAAACACGTATGCACATAATTTAACGTACGGAGTCTAGTAGCTTGGAAGATGATGGGGCAGACAACGACATGTTTAATGATGTTCATCCGAGGTTTGACGGGACATTCACGATGGGAGCTAGTGTCGGAAAGTGGGGGAGCCAGCCCCCTAAACTTTTGAAAAATGTCAAATATGATACATTAATTTTTGTTTTTTTACAAAATTTTGATTTTAAAATTTAAATTATAGGGTCAATTTCAAATATAAAGAAGGCATTTAGGAACCAAGAAAATGCAT